CAAGGTCTGAATGTAGTCTCGAGTCCTAAACGCCTCTCTAACAAAGCTAGCAACCCTCTGTTGGTTCTCCTGACCTATAAAATGACGCAGACTAAATGCGGACTGGCCAACAAACAAATCCATGTACCGCTCTGTGCGTAGGAACCTATAAGCTGGGCACTCGAAAACGAAATGGTCCTCGTCCTCAAGTTGCACTGTGCGTTGCGGTTCGGGTGGGTTCGGTGCGGTGCGGTGAGCCGCGGTGCCGACCAGTGCGAGCGGCGCCACGTGTGCAATGTGCACCAATCGGTGCGGTGCGGTGCAGTGCGGTGCGGTGCGGTGCTGTGCGTACTGGCGCCACGTGTGCAGTGTGCAACGATCGGTGTGGTGCAGTGTGTATCTGAGGATCGCCAGCCAGATATTGTCCGGTTTGGCAGGGTATAAGCCGCGACCAGGACGCGAGGATGACCTGTCCAACCCGTTTTTCCTGTCCTCCTGTCAATTCATGCACTCCATCACACATATTGGGTGGTATGGGTAAGGATAAGCCGGACACAATAATCTCCTGTCCGCCCTGTCCTCCTGTCGATTCAACCCATAAACTACGATTTCCCAGTGTATTGCGCTGTATGGCCTTATATACATACATATTGGCAACTGGATCCGAGATGGAAAACCTTGTACTACTAATCTGTTATATTCTTCTTCTCCAAAAAGTCACTTTCAATATTGCATCTTTTTCAGGTATGGCCTTACATACTTATATATTGGCAATTGGATTCGAAAGGGAAAAACCTTGTACTATGTATCTGTTATAATATCTTCTCCCGGAGAAGAAAGAATTTATAACAGATCATAGTATAGATTGTTCCAATCTTGGCCGAGGTTGCTGATATGTATGTATCTAAGGATTGCCATCGCATATGGGCGGGCTTGGTCAGGATATAAGACGCAAGCAGGACAGCAAATTCTGCCGTCCGTCTCGTCTATCCTCGACGCGTGCTATAAATTACAATACGTACTTTGATAGTTCTTCCGGTATGGTAGAGTATAAGTCGGAAGCGGGACAGAAGAAAGTGCTGTCGGTCCCGTCTCCTATTTCGAAGCTTGCTATTAATTACAAAATTTCGACCATTTTCAACGTATAGTTATTTATAAGCGCAAAGCGGGACAGAAGAAACTGCTGTCCGTCCTGTCTCTTCCGTCGGATCTTGCTATTGACCACAAGACTTCGGGACATATTACCTCGTATGGTCACGTATAAGCTGGGGGCGAAACAGGAGCCAGGTAGGAATTGTTGTCCGTCCTGTGTGCCCTGTCTGATCGTGCCCTCATGCATTGCTCAACCACTTAATATTGTTTCAGACATATTACCTGGTATGTCGACATAAGACGAGAAGATGCACCATAATATTCGTCTGGCTTAGTCTGATTGCTCCTTGCAGATGCCATTGCGTTTCAGCTCAAAAGCTTGCTCAAAAGTGGAAGCCTTTGAATCCAAGTTCAAAAGCTCCTAATGCTAGCTGCAATGACATGCCCCGGCGTTGTGCTGCAGCTTGGTGCTAGGTGTGCCTGCTGCTGGCAGCATGTGTGGAGCCAACAAATGCTTCACTGGTTGTGTCACCTTCGATGGTGCAGCTGGCACTTGCGAGTTTCTATGCAAGGCTGCAATCTGCAGCTGCTCATCGAGCAGGTTTTGCAATCAGGCATTAGAAAGAGGTATGGCAAGGCAGCAGCCTGTGGCGCTATCTACTGCAGACTGCTGAGTTGGCGATGGCAAGCAACGGGAAGCGGTGGCAAGGGTTGGCGGGGAATGGTAAAAAGGCAGAACCTTGCATGCTTGCCAAGTGGCTGAAATCCACCTCAGCTGGAAGCATCTCTAAGGGGTATGAGGAGCTTTAGGGCCAGCACTTCAGTTCTGGTAGAGGCATTCTCAAGGCTCCCTGAACAAGGATAAGTGCGGCATCCTGTTGCGAGATCGGGTGAGTGTTGTAGCTCTCTCCTTTGCTTTACATGTTGCCTGTAAGCTTACACCAAAATCTGGTTCAGTCAGGTTGCAGGAACATGCTCGTTTGTGGTTGGAGTGCTTGCACTAGGGAATTGCCGTTGAGATTACGGTTTGAGAGGCGCCTTCGAGATGGGGAAAGTTTAAGGTGTGTTTTCAGCAAATGGTGCAAGTTGTTGGCTTCGTTGTACTATTTTTGTCAGGCACCATGGTGCTTGCTGCTGGGCTGATATGGCGCCTGCTGTCGTGCTGTTATTTGAACCTGCTTTGAGGCTGATTCAGTATGGCTGTCAGGCTAATCTGAGGTTTGCTATGGGCTGACTTGAGACTGACTGGGTGACTATTGCGCTGATCCTGCGCTCGTTGTTGTGCTGATTTGCCGCCCTGAAGGAGCTAATCTGACGCCAAGTTGTCGCCTTTTTTTGTTGCTCACTGAAGGCTGATTCGCCGCCCGCTACGGGGCTGATTCGGGGGCATGATTCGCCGCCCGCTACGGGGCTGATTCAGGCCCCGCTGCGGGGCTGATTTGATCCCAGGCTGTCGGACTCATTTGTTGCTTGTACTGAGGGCTAGTTCGCTGCCCGTTGAGCCGCTGATTTGGGGTCCGCTGCGGGGCTGACTTGCCGCCCGCCTGGAAGGCTAACTTGAGCTGCTGCGACCTGATTTGCTGACTGCCTTCGGGTTGCTTTTTGAGCCCACTCTTGGGCTGATTTGGGCTTTTAGATAGGCTGATTTTTTTTGGCAATGTATCACTCGTTGCCGTGCTTTTCTGTTGTTTGCTGCTTGGGGCTGAATTTGTCACTCGCTGGCGGCGTTGACTTTGAGCCTACCGTTGCTTCATTGTGGTCTACACGTTGCAAAGCCCGCGCTCGTGTTCCAACGAGCACTGACTTGTTATCTTCTGCCTCAAAATGCAGAAGATGGGGCTGTACGAGCCTTCAAGCCCAGTCTTCTTTGGCCCAAGATCACCCAAAGGGTTGCCCAAGCAACCGGCCAACAAGAAGCGTCAACGCCACATCACGGAGAGTGCAAACCTTGAAGACACGGCGGCAAGCGGCCAGCGCCACAATGAAGAAATGCAGGTGTGTACCCTGCTTGCCTTCTTGTGTCAACTGCAGATGTTGGTTGCTCGACGTGCTTCTGATGCCTTGAGCAGGCACACAGATAGTCTTTTTACCACTTGATCTGCAAACAGTCTCATGAGTCATCTTTGAGAATTGTAAAGCCTGTCGCTCCTACCCCGCTTGCTTTGCAAACAAACAGCAAAGGTGTAGAGATTTTCTATCAGGCCGAGGCTTGCCTGGCGGACAAGACAGACACCAAAGATTCGGTCCCTTTCTTTGCCCTGTCGTGCTTTCATAAAGGATAGACAGTAAAGACACGAGTCCTTTGCGTCGCCGTTTGTCATCCGGCTCTCGCTTTGCAGATGGAAGAGAACTCTGCAAAGAATCGGTCTCGCTTGTCTGATGCAAGCGCACGCGCCGCCGACCCATCTTGAAAGGTCCAATTATTCTTAAGTTACAGCAGATAGGACGAACAGCAGAGACACGTGTCTCTGCTATCGCTGCCCTAGTATTCCCTGCACTTTTGCTGTCTGTGCGCAGGCTAACAGGAAGGACAGGAAAGACATGTCTTTCTCCTGTCGAGATCCACGTTTTCGTGCTCTTTCTCTACAGGTGGCAGGCAATTCTAAGGAGAAAGGGGGTGGCTCGCCTGATGCAAGCGCGCACAAGGATGGTTGCATGCATGTGGTGGAGGGTGGCGCTGCCGATGGTGCACAAATGAGCGGGGTAAGTCTTGACGAATCACTGGTCAAACGGCCCAACTCTATACACCACTCCCGCTCGGGATTCTTCAGAAGCAACAGACAGGACGGACAACAGAGACACGTGTCTCTTCATCGTTGCCCATGTTCTCAAGCATATGCCATAACGCCGTCTGTGCTTTGATCGACAGGACGGACAGTAAAGACACGTGTCCTTCCTGTTGCCGTTCATACTTGCAGGCACTTGGCCGTCTGTGCTTTGGCAGGCAGACAGGACAGACAGCAAGGACAACAGAGCCACGTAATCCTCCTGTCGCTGTTCATGACTCGCTGCTCTTCCTGTGCAGCTGGCATGCAGTTCTCCAGAGGAGGGGGGTGGTTCGCCTGGTGCAAACGCGTGCATGGATGAGAATGGCGGGGTTGGCAATGCGGAGTCGAGCGCGGACACGTCCTGCAATTTGTGCAACGTGCCCATCGGAGTAAGGAATCCTGCACTCGCTATATATACCGCGATAGGCACGGCGCATAATTTTTGTGAAAAAGTTGTAAGTCCTGAAGTCACCAGTAATCACTCCCTTTTATCTTCTTCCCGTGAGATACTTCAAAATTGCAAGTACTAAGCTCAGCTTTTTAGTACTAGGCTTAGCCTAGGACCTGTACTCAGGTTTGAGGAGGACTGTCTCAGCAAACTTGCTCGAACGAATCGCTTCCTAGAAATTATCATCGATAGACGCTTCATTCGGGTTCAGTTTCTTCTGTCGCGCTCTTGTTCGTGGGGCAAGATTGGGCTTCATTCCTCTACACAGTGCCTTAATTGGCTCCGGAGGTTCCAGTCCGGGCCAAGTACCTCCAAACGGACCTTGGTTGTGCCCTAATACCTAACAATGTCGAAAATTTGTCTAGGTGCTTGACTTTACCGAATAAACCTTCTGCAAGGCTGGTTCCAAATTCGTCTTTAGGCTTCGCACCTAGTAAATTTTCCCCGGGTTGCTGTGGGCCTGAATTTGCACATGTGGTCAGCTTGATCTCGGGGCTGCAATCAGATGGATTCTGGGGCCGTGGTCAGAATGGTGTTGAGCGGTAGTCAGGTTGACTTCTTGATCGACTGTGGCCCTTGTTTCTAACTCGCTCGAGGCCAGGCAATCATCCCAACGAAATTGTAGGCATGGAGAAAACCTCGAAAGTCATGGCCGCACGTGACTTTGCAATGAAAAGCGCCTCGCCCTTGCTAGGTGGTCGCAGACCCTTTTGGCTGGCAAAACGGGAATGGGCAGGGGCAAGAGGGCCGGAGAGGCGGGACCCCCGCAGAATCGGGGGCCAAAGATAGCTCCGAGCCGGCGTCTCCTTTTGGGGAATCGGACCTGGCGGACCCCGAGCTTCGGTCGGAGGTAGTGCGCGAGCTCGAAAAGCTCCTGTCGACCTGGGGCGACAACACCTCGGTCTTCTGCGCCGTCAAGCCGTCCTCCATGGGCACTGGGGTCATCTACGAGTTTCGGAACGCGCCTGACGGGCGCACAACGTGCCCTTACTTCGCAGCAACTTGCGAAGGCGTGCACGTCAGCGACGGCTTTGGGCTTCTTCGACAGGGTGTCGAGGTGATGTACGTGTGCTACGCGCAGAGCTGCAAAGCCGCTTCGCGGTCGGGCAACATCCGCATAGGCGTCCTCCCCCTGCCGATCGGCGCGGCCTTTGGCGACAGCCAGCCACTGAACAGCGAGAGGAACCACCTGTACTCCGACCGGCAGCTGCTGCCGCTGCCGTTCCTTCGAGAGAACCTCAACGTGAAGAAAGGTAAGATGAAGGGTCGTCAATGAACTTCTTTCATGTTGAAGGTGTGACTCGAAGTTACACCTATAAATCCACAAAGTTACAGCTTGAAACATTGCCTTCTTCCTTGAGAAAGCCTACTAGGGCAATTGGTTGATTGTGCAGTGGTCTTCGACTACTCTTGCTGCTTGCCACAGGTACCCCGTGATAATCTTTGAGTATCTTTGCTTTTGACTCGTTTGGTTGATGTAATTCGGCTTTGGTTGTGTTTTTGATGGTGTGCTGTGATAATTTCGGGCATACATGTCTTGTTTGATACTATCTGATACTGTCTGTTCGTTCCATTCTATCGCTCGTCTCGTTCTGCAGGTGTCTTTGACCCTTTGATGATGAATGTGATAACTTGTAGGAAGCACTTCGTGTTCGCATGCACATGATTCTACATCTGTTTAGCCTTCGACAGCAATAGTAGCTGGTGACTGGTCTCTACGGCCGCTGCTTTATGGAACCTCGTACTTGAGCCGGTCCAAGGGTGCAGATGGTGCTGTATGGTCTGCTCTCTACTCATTCAATCTCGATATACCTGCAGGAGACGTGGGTGGCGCCATCATCCTGGAGCGCCTCTATGTCCGGACGGGCCTGAAGTTTGCCTTCACCTCCTCGGGCTCGTACTACTGGACGGGTCGGTGCTGGGCCAAGGACGAGAGCGGCGGTCGGATTCTGCGGGTGCTCCGGGAGGAGCTCTCCAATATCGAGGCCGCGTACATGCGAGAGGCAGGGCAGGGGGAGGGAGGAAGGCGTTCGATCGCCATGGCCGACGGACCGGCAGGCGATGGAGACAGCGGGTTGGGCGTGACAGGAGGCCCTCGCATCAGCTCGAAGCCGGCGGGTGGCGGGAAGCAGCCAGAGGTGGAGAGAGAGGAGAGGCGGATCAATGTGAATTTTAACGCAAAGATGTCCAACATCATGGGCACATGCAAGGAATACTTCTATCAGCCCGGCTTTCAGTCCCTGTTGGACGTGCAGAAGGACTTCCTGGCTGTGGCGAACGGCGTCATCGACTTGCGGACGGGCGAGCTGCTCTTGCATCACCCCCGGGTGAGTGATGCAGATGAGTTCAAGGACTTCATCAAAAACTTCGCGTCATGGAGGCATCGGCCAGGTCTACCGGCCAGCCGGTGGACCTCCTTGATCAATCAACCGGCACTAAGTCGAACCCTTTCAGAGGCTCTGGCGACTCGCCTAGCTCTTGCTCCCCATTGGTTGCGGTCTTCCTGAACTCCCCTCGACAGATGAGATGGCCGTCCGTGCCGTCTTTGCTGTCCAACATGCTTGTGGGTCTGCCGTTCTCACTGCAGTTCATGAATAGTCGGGTGATTGACTGGCCATATCCCCGCGCTGGATTGTCGTTCCCAAGGTGCGAGATGGTGGGCTTCTTGGAGGACATCATGCACGCCTCCGGAGAGGATGGGCCGGCCGCTCTGGAGCACCTCCAGGTTCTGCTGGGGTACGGGCTGACTGGTCATACGAGCAATCAGGTATGTGCTCCCTCCAACTGAGTGCTTCGATTCATGAGCTAAAAGTTTGATGGACTCGAGTTACGTGCTGCCTCAATCTTCAAGGATCCAACAACCACATGAGGCCTTTGACCATTGGCATGGGATTTCACTGGCCAGTCGCTACGAGACTAGGCTGTGGAGGATTGCAAAAACTTGGCTCATCAATTATTGGATATCCTCCTCAGGTGCTGCCAATCTTTGTCGGGGAGGGGAGCGCAGGCAAGAGCGTGTTCCTTGCGCTGCTGCGCAAGCTCCTCGGCGCTGCCTTTAGAGACGTTGGCAAGGAGATTCTGGTGAACTCCAAAGGGCAGCGGGCCGCACACAAGGGGGCCGCTTCGCCGCTTGAGGCCGGTGAGAAAGTCGCACATCGGTGCACTTTGCTGCATTCGAGTTGCGAACGCCCAAGCCTCAACATGAGATTCCTCTGTCCGTGCTGTCTTTCCTGTCGGATCCTCTTGACAATCTGAACCCTCTCCCCGATCAGATTGGTCCGGAGATGAGTTAATGTTCTACCACAAGATGTTCTTCTGTCCATTGTGTTTCTCCTGTTTCGGGCTCAAGAATCTCCCTTTGCGTCTTCAGGGCTTGCTGGGGCGCTGCTCGCCGTGGTCGAAGAGACGGACAAGTCCGATACGCTCAACGAAGCCGGCATGAAGAAGCTGACGGGCAGCGATGTCATCACGGCACGGCCCCTCTTCAAGGACTTCATCACCTTCACCGCGACCGTTTTGGTAAGACTCTTCCTCTGGCTTGAAGCATATGCTTGCAAGCGCGCATGCCAGTTTCTCAAAACGTGGCTCGATTCATTTTGAGAAGCTTGCGCATCGAGCATTGCGTGCGGTTGCTTGGTCAAGCACGCTGGTCAAATACTTTCGAGCATGCTGAGACCAGTGGGGTGTGTCAAAGAACGTGAGTTATCGAGCACTAAGGACCCTCTCCTGATGTTTTTTGCAGCTCATCATATGCACGAACTACCTCCCGCGGACGGACGAGACTTGGTCCGTCGCCCTCCGGCGCCGCCTTCAGCTGGTCTGCTTCGTGCGGCGCTACTTCTCACCGCACGAGAAGGGATACGACCCCACCAACCCGTTGCACGGGCTGGTGGACACGCGCCTCCTTACCAAGCTGAGCACCCTGCAGAACATGCAGGAGTTGCTTGCGTGGCTGGTCGCAGGAGCGGTCAAGTGGTACCAGAACGGGCAGCAGCTGTTCCCCATGCCGAGGCGGAGCACGGACGCTTTGCAGGACTACGAAGAGGCGGCTGACGACTTCGACAACTTTGTCCTCAACAGTTGCGTCAAGGGCGATGACCTCTTCATCTCAACGAGTGATGCCCTCAAGGCGTACAACGACCCGCAGAGGATGGTGGGTGGCAAGTGCGTCGGCCATATCCCCTCGCTCGACACCAAGTCCTTGAAGTCGGCGATGAACAACCACGGCTTCTCGGGTCCGGACAAGCCCAGCAAACTTGGCCTTGGCGTAAAGTATTGCGGCGTTACGGAGCGAGGGTATAAGGGTCTTGCGCTGAAAGCCCCAGAGGTTAAGATGGAGTAAGGAGGAATAGAGGGAAAACAATTGAATGCTCGTGGCCTGGAATTCGAATCGACTGGAATTGACAGCACCATGTGAGACTTGAGTACTTCAGGATACTGTTCATTGTGGATGTTGCATCTTCTTGGTATGGCCTTACATACATACATATTGGCAATTTGATCCCACAAGGAAAACTTCGTACTACTAATCTGTTATATTCTCTTCTCCAAAAAGTCAATTACAATATTGCATCTTTTCCGGTATGGCCTTCCATACATACATATTGGCAATTGGATCCCGCAAGGGAAACTTCATACTACTAATTTGATATATTTTCTTCTCCAAAAAGTCGATTACAACGTTGGCATCTTTTTCGGTGTGGCCTTACATACATACATATTGGCAATTCGGAACCTAAGGGAAAAGATTGTACTACTAATCTGTTACAATTCCTTCCCTGGAGAAGAAAGAAATTATAACAGATTGTAGTATGAACTTTTCGGATCTCGGCCGAGATTGCTGATATGTATGTATCTAAGGTCGGGCCGCCACTCTCACAGATCGGCCAACTTGGTTGTAGCATACGGCCTCATTTCAATTCGTTTCTTGAATCACAATGTTCAAACAATCTCGGTGGTCCAGTCAACTGCAAGCCGGACCTGGACATGGGCATCTCCTGTCCGTCATGTCCTCCTGTCGACTCGCTCCATGAATTACAATATTCGATTCATATTATGCATGGTATGGTCAAGTGGGACCCGGACTTGGACACGAGCATCTCCTGTCCGTCCCGTCCTCCTGTCGACTCGCTCCATGAATTACAACATTCGACTCATATCAGGTGGCATGGTCAATTGCAAGCCGGTCCCGGACACGAACATCTCCTGTCCGTCCTGTCCTCCTGTCGACTGGCTCCATCAATTACAACGGATGCAACACATTAGATGGTATGGTTGAGTGTGAGGTTGACTTT